CAAGTCAAACCGTGGACGCAGTACATTCCCAGATGTTTAGCTGGCATCTTCAGTGAATCTCGCCATTCTTATCACCACACAACAACGCTTCAGAGACAAGTGAAGCCAGTCCTTTGTACACGTGCGCTAAACAGTTGTAGTATCTCCCCTTCTGCTCTGGTCTATTCAAATTTCCTATATCCTCCTAACACCGTGTTTATTTCGATGTAGTGTGGTATGCTCCTTTGAGCGGCATTCGTGAAACCCTTCACACTCCGCGCTGTCGTTCTCACCTCCCTCACACGTGTGCTGGGAATGTTGATCAGAGTCTGCCATATTGTTACGCAGTCCTCCTTTCCTAGGTCTGGAGTGAAAAACACACTGCGACTTGAACCGAGTGAAATCGGTCAACCAAAAAGTTAGGGAACAGATCTACGAGACAATGATGGGATCCAAATAGGAGGCCCGAGTCGGATTAGCCAATCAAAAGAGAGGGGATCGGGGTGAATAGCAAGTGTGATGAGGCCACACTCGGTTTGCCACAAAAGGGCACACATTATGACGAGTGGAATGTAAACAGGTGAGAAGTTGTGATAGGGCGGCAGTGGGACAAGAGTGTAAAGAGTAGATACATAGACAATAGCAGAAAGAGGAGTGATAGTGTAACCGTTTTCGGCAGAACGGTTGTCGAGGGTCAACTTCACTTGTCTCTTTGACGAATTCGTAGCTTGTTGCGGAGAATGGCAAAACGGCGAAACGTTTGGGAATGTACCAAGTCCACTGCCCAATGCTGGGAGATATGACAACTACAATGGCCCTGACAACCAGATCAAGTTGCGACAACGAGGTGGCAACTTTCTATAAATCGAAAGGAGACTGCGACCATACCACATCAACTTGGTATTCATATCTTGAATTATCGTAAAGTCTGGTGACCTGCTCTGACAGTGTACAGCACATGACGAAAGCTGGACAGTGATCTGAGAATTTATTCATCCAATTCGAATGTCACTGATCCGAAGCAATCGGCTTCCGGCTTCGACTTTCGGTGAGACCAAGTTGCAAATCCCTTCCATTCTCCTCTTCAAATAAAATGAAAAGTACGGAGAAAAACTGGGCTTCGAAGAATTCCTTAATGAAATATTCTCGCATGACTCTCCATTTCGAAGGGAAAATTGGTTGGAAGGCATTCGGAAACCGAAAAAGCATTGCCGCGTGATGCACATTCTTTTCTTGGTTTAGTGTATTTTTGCTATATTTCATGAAGTATGGATCCATGCTCTGTTGATGTTTGTCACAGTGCACACGGTTTTCGGTTAGACCATATCACAAATTGCTTCCAACCAACTTTCCCATCGAAATGAAGAGTCATGAGATGAAATGAAAATTACTCCAGCATCAATCTATCAAGAGATTCTTCGGAGACCAGTTTGTCTACATTTAATCTCTGCTATCTTCAAATACAGAAGAGCTCTAGCCAGTCGTCGTTTTCCATACACTAAACGCCCTAAAGGACAGATTGACGCCTCAATATGATCTGGCCATGATGACAAACTTGAACACAAAGCGAGGCGAAGTTTTTCATATATCAGAGAGTTTTCTTGACTCGCTCTGATGATGTCCGTCAAATGAAGGACGAAAGCTTAGCACGGGTTCACCGGAATCGAAGGAGATTGCCTCGGAAACAGCGTCAGCATGAATCTTTCAGTAAAGCC